ACCGGGCTCAGTGTGTGTTAGTGAGTGAACAGGCCGGGCTCAGTTTGTGTTCGTGAACAGACCGGGCTCAGTGTGTGTTAGTGAGTGAACAGACCGCGCTCAGTGTGTGTTAGTGAACAGACCCTGCTCAGTGTGTGGTATTGAGTGAACAGACCAGGCTCAGTGTGTGTTAGTGAGTGAACAGACCGGGCTCAGTGTGTGTTATTGAGTGAACAGACCGCGCTCAGTGTGTGTTAGTGAACAGAAAGCGCTCAGTGTGTATTAGCGAGTGAACAGACGAGGCTGTGTGTGTGTTAGTGAGTGAACAGACCGGGCTCAGTGTGTATTAGTGAACAGACCGGGCTCAGTGTGTGTTAGTGAGTGAACAAACAAGCTGAGTGCATGTTAGTGAACAGACCGGGCTCCGTGTGTGTTAGTGAGTGAACAGACTGGACTCAGTGTGTGTCAGTGAGTGAACAGACCGGGCTCAGTATGTGTTAGTGAGTGAACAGACCGGACTCTGTGTGAGGATACAATGTGCCTGAGGGGACGAGAGTATTTGTGGTAGAAAACAGTCCATCTGAGTTGGATCAAGAAAGTACGTGAGGATAAAGTCTGCCTGAGGCCGATACCGAGAATGTGTGTGAATGCAGTTTGCACAAGGAATGGGTGATTGATCACTCATGTTGTTTGAACACTGGCAAGTGTCGTAAAGCCACTGTTTCCTCTGAGAGTCTCACTTTGCATCCCTTGTTTTCCAGGCCCCTTCATGGCCAGCAGCAGCAGCACGGTGAACTATCGAATCCGAGTGTACCAGGACTCAGATTACCAGAGTGTGCGGGACCTGTATGTCAGTGGAGTACGCCAGCATTTCTCCAGGGTGTGTTGCTATGTCCTGAAGCAGCCTGTGATCCAGGCCAGTGTGGTTGTGAGCTTGTGCTTGCTGTTAGTGCTCTCCAGATCCTTGCTGCTGTCTCTCTGCATGCTGGCCCTGCTGTTGGTCCTGGGCCGTCTGTTCCTCAAGAGTTTGTGGAACCTCCTGATTAATCAGAACCTGAGGTCCGACCTGTTGGATATCGGAGCATCATACAGCAAGCAGCCTGGTGCCCGTTTCTGGGTGGCACAGTGGGATGATGCTGTGATCGGGACAGTGGGAGCTGCTCCATCTGACAACTCATCCACCGACCTCGAGCTGAAACGACTGAACGTGCACCAGGAGTACCGCGGCCGGGGCATTGCCAAGGACCTGTGCCACACTGTCCATGAGTTTGCTCGTCTCTCTGGCTTCACTGGCATTGTGCTTGGGACATCTGTCATTCAGACAGAGGCACAGCAGCTCTATCGCAAGCTGGGCTATAGGCTGGTGGGAACAACCCTAGTGCCACATGCCTTTGCTAAACTCATCAACTACACCATCTACAAATACCGCTATCAGCTCACCACCAGCCCTCTACTCTGGCAAACTGAGGAATGATTACTGTAAGAGCGACAAGCAATCTGTCCGAGTGCAGGAACTCACCCTGTTAGGACAGGGTAGAACAAACAGACTCTGTAACCAGGGCACAGGACAGATAAACAAATAAACATGGTTAAAATGCCGGGACAGATCTTGTTAAAGAAAACAGATAGATCATCATCTTCATTAAACCGAAGAGGTGATAACCATGTTCATTATATGTGATTTGATTAATTACTGTCACGTGTACTACGATACAGTGAAATTTGTTGTCTTACATGCTTTACAGGCAGATTGTACTATACAAGTGCATTAGGGTAACAGAACAGAGTGCAGGATATAACGTTACAGCTGCCGAGAACGTGCACAGACAGATAGAACATTGTTAGTAATTTTGACAGACTTGGAATTGAGTTTTTAAACAGCAGACAAGTCAGGATTCACCATTCTCTAACAACATTTTTTTTGTGGAGAGACCAAGAATACAGGAGCAGAGTTTACAGCAGATTGAGGCTGTTCCATCATACACATGATCAGGGCTAATCCTAGACAACTCCAGCTTCATTTTCCCATCCCTCTCCATGTCCCTCAATTCCCTGGAAGATCAAGAGTCTTTTAATTGAAGCCCCAGACAACTGACTAAGTTAATTCCAAAATTCTCAAGCCTTCAGAGTTTTCTATGTTCAAATGAGATCACCTTTCATCGTTCTAAACTCCTGAGTGTAGGGTAACCTTATTCAGCCCTGCACCATACGGTGAGCTCCCCATCATAGGATCCAGTTTAAATGAACATCTTCTTTAACATCTTCAATTCAAGTCTTTACTTTTCTTAGAAGTGGAGATCAAAATGTTCCAAATGTGATCTTACCAAAATCCTGAAAACTATCGTTGTTCCAAGAGTCTTGCAATCAAGCCCAACGTGCCATTTGCTGTTACAATTGCTTGTCAGGATGAAAGCCAGCTGAGTGATTGTTTAGCCTCAGGAACCTCTGATCCAAAATGGGACTGATTGTGTGGCTGATCTGTCATCATGGCAACTGCGTTGTTGCTCACTCTGCCCTAGTGAAAGCTACTCGCAACCTCTTTAATTCTCTGACAAGACACCAGAACAAAGATCAGTAAAACATGAGAGGAATTCCATTAATAATGCACCTGCTACATCCTCGGAATTCACCTCAGAACAAATTTTAGTCTCCTTCTCGATCCCAACTCCACAAGTATTCAGAGCAAAATTCTGCAAAGTCCACTTTGGATTGGACTGGACACTTTGCCTGGGCACCTGAAAACGTCTCCCCGACCAGATCCTGTCCTCTCAACTCTCAAAGCTCTGGTTTGCTGGGGAGGATAAAGAGAACATCAATCCAACTCAGAAGCTCTTACTAAATTGTGGCTGCATTAGCATTAATCATCAAATTCCTACAATGTGGAAGCAGGCCATTTGGCCCACTGAATCCACACTGATCCTTAGAAGAGCATTCCACCCAAACCCATCCCCAATCCATTCCTGTAACCCTGCATTTCCCATAGTTAATCCACCAAACTTACACATCCCTGGACACTATGGGCAATTTAGAATCATAGAATCCCTACAGTGTGAAACAGGCCCTTCAGCCCAACAAGTCCACACCGACTCTTGGAGTATCCCACCCAGACCCATCCCCCTAGAAGCCACCTAATCTACACATCCCTGAACACTACAGGCAATTTAGCATGGCCAATCCACCTAGCCTGCACATCTTTGGACTATGGGAGGAAACTGGAGCACCCGGAGGAAACCCACGCAGACACGGAGAGAATGTGCAAACTCCACACAGACAGTTGCCCGAGGGTGGAATCAAACCCACGTCCCTGGTGCTGTGAGGCTGCAGTGCTAACCACAGCCACTGTGCTGCCCCCAATGGCTGGGAGGAATGTGCTCCCAATTTTTAAAGATGTTGACAGTCCATCGAACTGCATCATACTTTGAGTCGAAACACCTTACTATTGAGGCAAAGTGAGGCAGGAAAGGGTAGAAAAAGAAGTATATTCTGCCTCATGGCACGTCCCTACCCGTGGTGCCCATTGATCTGCAGCCTGTGTTTTAGCCTGTCCAGACATATGAAGACCCAGGGCACAAACTCACTATCCTGAGATGATACCACCCTTGAATTGAGAGGCAACCAATGACGGTGCCACCTGTATGCCAGGCTTTGTGTTCCTTTCTTGAGCTGCTCCCAGTTTCACATCATATTCTGTTTAACTATCCTCGTCAGCCAAGTGAACAACTCCACACTTCCCTGCATTTTGCAGCTGCGCATTTATGTTGCCTCTCTGTGATCTTGATCCTTTTGCCTTGTTTTGTGTCATGAGCAAAATTAGACAGATTAGACATCCAAATCTTACTGCAGATTGTAAATAGCGTATTAGCCAGTTATGTTGCACATTTTCAAAATGCCGCTAAAAATAAAAATATCAGTAGATTTTATGTGTTTAAATTTACTTAATTTATTTATGTTTCAATTTAAATTACCTAAAATCTGGGAGAGAAAAAGCTGAGCAACATTCAACAACTGAGCTGAACTTGGCAAAAAAACACTCCAAGAAATCCCAGAAAGGTTGGGAGTTCATTGGTTGTTGAGTTTTGGCACAAAGGCTTTCAACCTCTGTTTATGGAGAAGGGCGTAGAGTGAAGACAGGAATATGGAACTGTGTGAAATCGGAATGAGAGGAGGCAAGAATATGCTAAAAATTATGAATCAAGCCTTTTATACAACTTCCTTCAAAATACTGCACTTGTTGAAACGTTGGCTTTTAAGCTTGTGTTACACCATGGCCTGCTATAGCAAAAATGTTGTTAAACTTGAAAGGGTGCAGAAAAGATTTACAAGGATATTGCCAGGGTTGGAGAGTTTGAGCTATAGGGAGAGGCTGAATAGGCTGGGGTTATTTTCCCTGGAGGGTCGGATGCTGAGGGGTGACCTTATAGAGGTTTATAAAATCATGAAAACCATGGATAGGGTGAATAGCCAAGGTCTTTTTCACAGGGTAGGGGAGTCCAAAACTAGAGGGCATCGGTTTAAGATGAGAGGGGAAAGGTTTAAAAGGGTCCTAAGAGACAACGTTTTCACACAGAGGATGGTGCGTGTATGGAATAAGTTGCCAGAGGAAGTGATATGTCCTGTACATAAAAAAGCAGGACAAATCCAACCCGACCAATTATCGCCCCATCAGTCTCCACTCGATCATCAGTAAAGTGATGGAAGGTGTCATCAACTGTGCTATCAAGCAGCACCTGCTCAGCAATAACCTGCTCAGTGACGCCCAGTTTGGGTTCCGCCAGGGCCACTCAGCTCCTGATCTCATTACAACCTTGGTTCAAACATGGATAAAAGAGCTGAATTCCAGAGGTGAGGTGAGAGTGACAGCCCTTGATATCAAGGTTGCATTCGACCAAGTGTGGCATCAAGGAGTCCTGGCAAAACTAGAATCAGGGGCAAACGCCCCGGTGGTTGGAGTCATACCTGACACATAAGAAGATGGTTGTGGTTGTGGGAGGCAATCATCTCAGCTCCAGGACATCTCTGGAGTTCCTCAGGGTAGGGTCCTAGGCCCAACCATCTTCAGCTGCTTCATCAATGACCTTCCCTCCATCATAAGGTCAGAAGTGGGGATGTTCACCGATGATTGCACAATGTTCAGCACCATTCGTGACTCCTCAGATACTGAAGCAGTCCGTGTTCAAATGCAACAGGATCTGGATAATATCCAGGTTTGGGCTGTCAAGTGATATGTAACATTCACGCCATACAAATGCCAGGCTATGACCATCGCTAATAAGAGACAATCTAACTACCACCCCTTGACATTCAATGGTGTTACCATCACTGAATCCCCCACCATCAACATCCTGGGGGTTATCATTGATCAGAAACTCAACTGGACTCACCACATAAGCGCAGTGGCTACAAGGATAGATCAGAGGCCAGGAATACTACATGGACTTTAGATCCACATGGTAGACTGGTTAGTGACGTTAGATCGCATGGGATCCAGGGAGAGCTAGTTAATTGGATACAAACCTTGCTTGACGATAGGAGACAGAGGGTGGTGGTACAGGGTTGTTTTTCAGATTGGGGGCATGTGACCAGCAGTGTGCCACAAGGGTTGGTACTGGGTCCACTGTTGTTCATCATTTATATAAATGATTTGGATGAGAATATAAGAGGCATGGTTAGTAATTTGCAGAAGACATCAAAATTGGTGGTATAGTGGACCGTGAAGAACGCTATCTAAGATTACAACAGGTTCTTAATCATCAACTGGGCTAATGGGCCGAAGAATGGCAGATGGAGTTTAATTTAAATAAATGCAGTGTGTTGCATTCTGGTAAGACAAACCAGGGCAGGACTGAGATAGTTAATGGTAGGCACTGGGGAGCGTTATCAAACAGAGAGATCTAGGATGTGCAGGCATATAGTTCCTTGAAAGTGGTGTCAGAAATAGATAAGGTGGCGAAGAAGGCTTTTGACATGCTTGCCTTCATCAGACAGAGCACTGAGTACAGGAATTGGGACGTCAGGTCACAGATGTGCAAGACACTGGTGAGGCCACATTTGGAGTACCGTGTAGAGTTCTGGTCACCCTGCTATAGGAAGGATATTATTAAACTGGAAAGGGTGCAAAAAGGATTTACACTGAAGTTATTGAGACTGAAAGCTGAGATATGAGAGGCTGAATAGGCTGGAACTTTTTTTCCTGGAGCATACGAGGCTGAGGGGTGAAATTATAGAGGTTCATAAAATCGTGAGGGACTTGGATAAGGTGAATAACCAAGGTCTTTTTCACAAGGTAGGTGAGTCCAAAACTAGAGGGCATAAGTTTAATTTGAGAGGGGAAAGATTTAAAAGGGACCTGAGGAGCAACTTTTTAACACAGAGGGTGGTGTGCACATGGAACGAGCTGCCAGAGGAAGTGGCATGGGGTGAGTACTATTGCAACAGTTAAAAAAAAACATTTGGACAGGTACATGAAAAGGAATGGTTTATAGGGATGTGGGCTGAATGCAGGCAAATGGGACTAGTTCAATTTAAGAAACCATGGTCAGCCTGGATGAGTTGAGCCGAAGGATTTTTTTAAAATCTGTATGACTTGATGAAGATGTCAGGTGAGATTAATAGACCTTCAGGACACATGCCTTTAATAGTCGAGGCATTTTTGAGCAGAGAGGTTATGTTGGCACTGCACAGGACTATACAGAAAAGGCTCCATTCTAAGCAACATTATGGTGAATCACCTCTGCACCCTCTCCAGTACAATCACAGCCTTCCCATAGTACAATGACCAGGGGTGCAGACAGTGCTCCAGCAATGGCCTAACTAGAGTAGTAAGTGCAGTTCTGGTCACTTCACTACAGGAAGAGATGGTTGGTGAGGTGTGTTGGGGGGGTGGTGGTGAGGTATGTGGGCGGGGGTGGTGGTG